TTTGCTGGGTTTTGTTTCCTTAATATGCTTTGGGATTTTGTTCACTAACATGTAATTAAACTTTTACTTTTATAGAGAATCTTTTTGTCTAAAAGCTTTTATTTTTGCTGCCTTTTGAAAATACATTCAATTTTTGTTGTTACTGTGTGTGTGTGTGGTCATTCAGGTGACTGTGTGTGTGTGTGTGTGTGTGTGTGTGTGTGTGTGTGTGTGTGTATGTGGTCATTCAGGTGACTCTGTGTGTGTATGTGTATGTGTGTGTGTGTGTGTGTGGTCATTCAGGTGACTGTGTGTGTGTGTGTGTGTGTGTGTGTGTGTGGGTGGGTGGGTGTGGGTGTGGTCATTCAGGTGACTGTGTGTGTGTGTGTGTGTGTGTGTGTGTGTGTGTGTGTGTGTGTAGGTCGGAGGAGAGCTTGGAGGAGTTTGTTCTCCCCTTTCCCTGTGTCTGTGCTGGGGATGACTTCGGGTGCCAGCCTTGGCATCAGATGCGTTCCTCAGAGCCACAGTGCAGCCCCTTCACTGCCTGTGCGGGTTTGGTTTGACTGATGCATTCATATTAATGAGGTTTTCTTTCATTTTTATTTCAGGGTATTGGGATTATGTTGGTTTGGCTCTTGGGGAGAAAAGCCTTGTGATGTCATTGGAGCTTCATGGGGTCTCTGGGGTTATTGCCTGATGGCTTAACTTCCCCCAGAAATAGGTGTGTTCCTGGAGACCTGCTTTAAGTTTGCAATCAACGTCGAGAACTATGTTTCTTTAAGCACTTGCCATTTTGATAAAAATTTAAAATTATTTAGCAGTCTAAAGATAAAATAAGGGAAATTTCCTATTTTATTTATTTATTTTTTTTTTCGAGACAGGGTTTCTCTGTGTAGCTTTGCACATTTCCTGGATCTCGCGCTGTAGACCAGGCTGGCCTTGAACTCACAGAGATCCGTCTGCCTCTGCCTCCCGAGTGCTGGGATTAAAGGCGTGCGCCACCACCGCCCGGCTGAAATTTCCTATTTTAAAGCTGTGATTGTTGCCATTTAATTGTGTATATTTGTATTTTGCCCATTGGATTAGCTGCTATTATTTTTAGCTCTGCTTTTGAACCCAGAATTTTAAAAATTAGACCAATTATTTAATGAATCCTTTTTAATACCTGTATTATCCTTTTCAGTTCTCTTTCCCTACTCTAATTTTTCTGTTCCATTTCTTTAGTTTGATCTGTAAAGAATTAGTATTTTTTTTAAAGTTCCTAGAATGTATATGTATGTATACACATCTACATCCCTAATTACTGCTTTATGTACATTGCAGATTCTGGTAAGTAATGTTTTTAAGGCCATTTATTTCTTAGAAATTCAATAATATTCTTAACTGAAAGCAGGTAATTAGAATTACATTGTGATTAAATGGATAATGGGACAGGTGGGATGATCCTGGGAACGCTGGTCTTCTGTGTGTGGAAAGAATATACCATTCTGGTGTCAATTTGCTGCTGTGTTTCCTCGTACACCCTGTGCCTCTGCTTAGTTAAGTGCTGTATCTTTGTCAGCTTATTTAAGCATTTAAATGTAAGTTTGAGGTTCATGTCATTTCCCACTTTTGTAAGAGGAAACCGTGACTCTGAAGGGTTTGTGTCATTTGTCTAAAGTGCCTGGTGTTCACATTGGAAGCCAGGGTGGACTTCTAGGTTGGCTTGTGTTTGGGCAGTGGTACTGTGATGTCATAGAGGCACTGAACAGTGTGGCAGAACTGTAGGTGCTAGCAGCGCGCAGTGTGACTGGATGAGGTAACACTGGCTTGGCAGATCCAGTGTTCAAGTTAATGGAGAGTGAAACATGAGGCTGATCTGGGCTGTGTGAAGTGTAGCTGACTAATATGCCTGTGGGACATCTAAATGGATCCTTGTGGTAATCAGGTGAGTGACTGGTGTGAGAGGGCCAGGGAGCACTTGATTCTCGAGATGGGAATTTGGTTTTCATTGCTTTGTGGGTCATAGGAGGTTTAATAGTGGGCTTGAAAGTGGTTGAAGGAAGTGGAAGTGTGTGTACTTGAAGTCAAGAGAGTGGAGTGAGTGTTCATCAAAGGACCAGTAGTAAGTACCTTAAGTAACAGCTGCAGGAGACTGGCCTGGATGGGAGTGAGGAAGGTGGAGATGGGCTGCAATCTGCTGAGGAAGTGTGGTTATGAAGCAGATGGAAGGGTGGTGGTGCCTGTCTGAGAGCCAGGCCCTCCTCTCTCCTCGTCATTTTTCTTCTGTAACCTCTTCTCGCCTCTTGCTTTTTTCCCCCACTTTCTTCCTTTCCCCATCCTTCAGCTGTTCTACCTACTGTCCCCTCTCTTTTCTTTCTTTTCATGTGACACACTTGGATATTCAGTGTTTGAAGAATTTCCCTTAGGATTACATGGCATCTTGTCTTCAATCATGACTGTCGATGTGAAGACAGGGATGGTGAAATACTCCAGTATTAGGGCTGTCTTGGTCAGGGTTTCTAGTGCTGTGATAAAACACCATGACCAAAAGCAATTGGAGGGGGCAAGGGTTTATTTCAGTTCACAAATCCTCACCACAGTCTACCACTGAGGGAAGTCAGGGCAGGAACCTGGAGGCAGGAGATGATGCAGAGGCCATGGAGGAGTGCTGTGTGCTGGATCATTTTCCATGGCTCACTCAGCCTGCCTTCTGCCACAGAAGACTACAAACAAGAAGGGGCACCACAGGCTTGCCCACAGGCTTGCCCATGGCCTTGCCCTGCCCACAGCCTTGCCCACGGCCTTGTCCACGGCCTTGTCCATGGCCACCCTATGGTGCTATTTTATTTGTATTAAAATGTTATTTTTATGTTAATAAATAAAGTTGCCTGGGGGTCAGAGCTATTAGCAAGCCATAGGAAAGCAGGGCAGTGGTGGCATACTCTTGTAATCCCAACACTTGGTAGGCAGAGCTGGGTAAGTCTCTGTGTGTTCAGGGATACAGCCATTATTGGATACACATGCCTTTAATCAATACCAATCATGGAAAACCTGGAGGCCTATACAGACAGGCCGTGAGGAGGCAGTCATGTGGTTGGGTTTACAACCAATGAGAAGGCAGAACAGGAACTCTATATAAAGACTTTAACACAGGGGTAGCTCTGGTTCGGAGAGGTAGGACCACCGCAGGAGGAAGGGTAAGGTTTTAGCTCATAGCTCTGACCTCTTGGATTTCTTCTTTGCATTGGTTCTGTGTTTCTTATTTAATAAGAAGGTTGGTTACATCTACACCACCCTGGTGGGATATTTTCTCCATTGAGCTTCTGTCTTCCCAGATGACTCCAGCTTGTGTCAGGTTGACAGAAAGCACAAGGGTGGTACTGCTTAGAGTCTGCCTGTGAACACATCGTGTCCAGGACATTTAGTATCTGAGATGACAGCCAGTGTGTTCAACGCTTTCAAGCTTGCTTTGTAGTTTTGTCTGCTTTACAGAAGATGTGGAAGGACAGGAGGACAGGCTACTCACCATTGTTCTGTGCTTAGTGTGATATTGTAATGTCAGGCAGTACTTTTGTTCATGCTTTTCAGAGTTCATAATATGTTATCAGTTAAAATTCAGAATGAGAAGTTGGAATGTTTTAACATTTTTAGAGCATTCACTTTAGCCATATGTAGGGAGGATTTGGGAAAAATTCTGAAAAATGTATGGCAAGTTCAATCTTTAAAGTTCTACTGTTTTGTGTTTGAGTTGAAAAAATTGAAATACATCTTTGTGCAGCTAGACACACACACATACACATGCACACACACACACACACACACACACACACACACACACACACGCTCATACATATAGAGACACACACACCCGTGCACACTGATTTAAGTTTAGAAAGAAATTAATTCTGCAGCTAAATGATTTTCTTTTTTAAAATTAATTTTCTTTTGAGAATTTCATGCATGGTTACTATATTTACATCTTCTCCACCCTCTTATCCAGTGTGTAACATACTCTTACAAAGCCACAACATTATTAGATACAATAAAATTTTACATAATTAAGAGTTCCTTAAAATAGCAATCAGAAATCTGTGCATTTAGCTCGTTAGTACTCACTGCCTTCTATGTGTCTTTCTTCAGGGCAACACGCAATTGTGAACCACCTTCATTTTGTGGTAGGACCCGAGGACAGAGCTACTGATGCCAATGTGGAATAAAGGTCATTGCAGTTAGGCCTTGGGTGTGTGAGTGAGTTGACTGCTGAAGATGACTCCTTAAATTTCAAAGCATATTAGATTCATTTGAATTTTGGAAGCATTTAAAAATAAAATAATATAAATATCTGCTTTTTCCTTATTTGTATTTTTGTCTTTTTTTGTACCTGTCAATCAGCTGCTTCCATAACCTTCTAAAGAGAGCCTTAATCACAGTGTAACAGTGGTTTATTATGGATCTAATAGCAAAATTGTTTCCAACATTACTTTTGTGGAAACAATCCAGTAAGTGAAAATTGACTTTAACATGAAAACTTTAAAAAGATTATCACAAAAGAGGAACTTGAGGTTTTTACAGCAGTCTTCCCTTCGTCTCCATTTTCCATAGTGAATGTTTAGCTGTTGAGCTCTGCTAGATTGGAGCTAGGGTCACTAGTGTGTGACAGTGTCTCCCTGCACCTTCCACATTCACAGCACTCCTGGCCACACCAGGCCAGTGCCCTTTTAACAAAGTTCAATCAACTCTCCTGAGTTAGTGAGTGGATGTGCCATGTTGTAGGTTGAATATTTTCTCTGCTGGGAAATGAACATTTCCAGTGGGCTAGGCTAGTATGTGTGTTAAAGACGTTAAAACATGTAGTTTGTCTATGACTCATGTGGAGACATCGTGTGTAATTCAGAAACACTCCTTCGGATTTTAGACATTAGTCACAAAGTCTGGATTTCTCAGCTGCACTGCACCTAACTCTAACTCCTGCACCCTCTCCTACCCGCCTACCCGCCTCTGTTTGGTCTCTAACACCCCTCTCGTGCTTCTGTCTTCAGTATCCGGAGTGCGTCTCTCACCAGCTTCTCCGGAGCTCATTCTGGACCATGACTACTCATCGCCATCCTCTGGCCGCCTCCCTCCAGATGCCATCATTTCAGCACCAGATGATACACGTGCAGACAGTGGCCTTGTGAGTCAGACCATCCCCAAAGCTCAGGTGAGTGCTGTCATCATTCAGAAGGAAGCTTGCTTATAGAAACTGCATCTTGACTTAATTCATGTCCTTACTTCTTTTTAAAATAGAATTTTCCAAAAGGGTTATTTCTGTAGTAGATAGGATATTCTAATTTTGAAGCCAAGACTTAGAATTTAAAAAAAATGCTATATAATACTGTTTTGTGATGTGATTGCAAAACACTTAAGTAGCTTAGTTATAAAAGTTTGCTTTGAGTGTCTCATTTATTAAAATTGATTGAGTACTCAGGCCCATGGCTCCATTTAGGGGGCCAAGAGGACACTGGATTCAAAAAAGAAAGCTAGCTGGCAGGACTTATTCCATAAACATCCACTGAGCTTAAAGGCTAGTACAGAGCCCAGAGCTTCCTGGGTAAATTCCTGAGGAGTTCCTCAATGCTGAGTGTCAACTCCTTCCTCAAAGCAGTCTTCCGGCCACCAGGATAAGTCCTGCTGGGGTGGGCAAGAGGGTTCAGCGGTTGAGAGTACATAGGGCTCTTGTAGAGGACCTAGTTTGGTTCAACACTCACATCAAGCAGCTCCAGGGGATGCCACCTCAAACACAAACAGACATCCACACACAGACACTCCTACTCCCCCAGGTAAAATTAAATCTTAAAAGAAAGAAATGTACCATTGATTGTCCTGTTGAAAGGTGAGAAACTGAGGCACAGAGGAGCAAATTCCCTACAAGAACATTGCTGACATGCTGGAGAGATGGCTCAGAGGTTAAAAGCACCAACTGTTCTTCCGGAGGACCCGGGTTCAATTCCCAGCAACCACATGGTGGCTCACAACCATCTGTAATGAGTTCTGATGCCCTCTTCTGGCCTGCAAGCATACATGCAGACAGAACACTGTATACATAATACATAAATAAATCTTTAAAAAAAAAAAACATTGCTGGCAGGCTGCAGAGACAGAACTGGGTTTCACTAAGTAAACTGAGGCACACAGGGTAAACTTCCTACAAGAACATTGCTAGCAGGCTGCAGAGACAGAGTTGGGCTCCACAGCTGACTTTTTGCCTGCTTTACAATTTAACTGTGTGTGAAATTGCATTGGAAGAACATCCAGCCTGCCTGTACTCAGTTGGCGGCATTTCTGCCACCAAAGTTGATGCTTTACTGTGGTAAACAACTGTGCATGGTTATTAAAATGGACTTACCTTTGCATATGCTATCTTGGACTTAGAGAATAGTAACAAAAAAGAATAATTGCTTTTGCATTTCAAACTTAAAGTTAAACTTCAAAAAGGGAAATAATTATTAGAATTGTTTTTCTTTTCTTGGAGTATTAACATGTTTTTTAGGTACAGGAGCATCTATTTCAGTTTTAGGGTAAAAGTCTCCAAAGATAGCATCATCATAGCGTTTTCATTTAGGTATTTGCAGAGCTAGATATCATGCTGGATACTGGAGGCAGGGTTCCAAAACTCAGTTTTAAAATGTCAACTGCAATTTTAAGTAACCTGTTAACTTTGTTAGAAGTTGATAAATTAGCATCATTAATAAATATGAAATTCTGAGTTGCAATTAATTCTAAATGAATCCTAGGTCTGTGTATACATTTCAGAATGGATGTGTCTATGCTCAACTGTGCATTTTTATACATAAAGATTTTAAGTGTTTTAGTGTATTAGCAGTAATGCAGTAGTGAGTACTGTAGATATAAGAGGACTTTTCTTTACACTTCAAAGATCAGGCTATTGTAATAGTCTGAAGTCTTCTGTTGATTCACTTAGAGGGGAGATAATTTCATTGCTTTCATTACAACTTAATTCTAAATGTGGTTTACAATACCCTTTGAACATTTCCTTAAAAGGATGGTCTAACTTTTCTCTGTCTGTTAACACATGGTTTAGATTCAGCAGTCAGCACACACACATCTGAATATACCACTTTTTCCACTTGGCTTAACGGATGAGACAACCCATGGAGCGCTTGGACTGGAGGATGACCCCGAGGGTCCTGGAGCCAACGTGTCCCACTCACAACTACAGCAAAAAATATCAAGTCTGGAGACTAAACTGAAAGCATCTGAAGAGGAAAAACAGAGAATTAAAAAGGTGTGTGTGTGTACATCTGCCTGGGAATGTAGAATTGTATATGATAGCAATTTGATATCAAATTCAACCTAAAGTGGATTAAAATTTCACCAAAGACTGTATTGTCTTCCCTGGGGTGGAGGTTCAGGTCAGTCACATCAGATAGTAAGTGGAGGCACTTTATTAGAAGCTGCTAGTCATGGGCTAGAGAGATGGATGGCTCCGTAGTTAAGAACCCTACTGTTCTTGCAAATAGATCCAAGTTTGGTTCTCAGCACCCACATCGCAGCTCACTGTCTGTAACTCCAGTTCCATGCCCTCTTCTGGCCTCCAAGGGTTTCCTGTATGCATGTAGTGCACGTACATACATGCAGGCAAACACATACATAAATAAAAAACTAAATAAACCTTGAACAAAAGTCTCTAGTCAGTGGTTGGCATACCCATGCATTCAGCATCTGATTTAACCAACCATACATCAGGGACACATCTTCTATGTGCTCTGGGTGTATGTTTACAGACCTCCAAAGTAGCTGAAGATCTCAGTGTATATGGTAGGATATGTGTAGGTTATATGAAAATATCCTGTTGTTTTTTATAAGGGTCTTGAGCATCCTGAGACTTTGGTGTCAGCAGGGACCCACATGAACTGAAAGGAGGTTGAATGCGGTTCTAAGACATGCACAGATTTCTCTGGGGCTTTTGTTGTTTCTTGCTCCTCTATGGCTTATGCTTCTGTAGGCAGTGTTATACTTGGTGTGTGGATTTTAGGTTTGCTGTGTTACCTTATCCCTGTGGGAAGTCAGGTACTCCTGGGGTATTTGAACACAGATGTTCAGGGAAGGGACGGGTATATGCTCTCAGCTCCTTCTGTCCTTCCATCTGCCTGTCTATCCATCTACCTGTCTTCTATCATTTATCATCTGTCAGTTATTTATCATCTCTCTAGATCCTTCATTCTATCTGTTTCTGTCCATTCGTCCACCCATAAGTCTGTCTGTCTGTCTTAGCCAGTTCATCAAAAGTACTTTCAGAGATTGGGTTTTATTCATTGTACTCATTGAGACACTCTTGTTCTTATTTACTCCTTGTTTTGTGTTTGTGGTGGGTGCCTATACATGGTTGTATGCATGTAGGACATGCTCATATGTTCTGTAGAGGTTAGAAGTCAGCCCAGGAAGCCTTCATCCATCACTCTACACCTTGTGTCTCCTGACCTGGAGCTCGCCATTTCCACTAAGGTGACTGGCCAGTGGACTCCATGGATACCCTAGTCTCTGTCTCTCTGTTCTGGAGTTACAGATGTCTATGGACACACTTGGCTTTTTATGTGGATATGGGGGTCTACTCTCAGGTCCTTCATGCTTGTACACATAGCACTTTACCCTCTAAGCCACCTCCACAGCCCCACTCTTAGACATTTATGAATTTTAATGTTATGTCAGTATTTGATATTGGCCTAGAAATTGGTTAACTTTGGTAATTTCCTACATACATAATTCTTAGACTTTAAGCATTTTTTCCTAATTTTCTTCCCTGACAAATATTTTCTGTGTTTACTGAAGAAGTATTTTATGCCATGGAACATTGCAAGCTTGTGTTTGGGTTCCTTGTAGGATGTGGACTCACTGATGGAGAAGCACAATGTCCTGGAGAAAGACTTCCTGAAGGAAAAGGAGCAGGATGCTGTGTCCTTTCAAGCCAGATACCGTGAGCTTCAGGTGAGCAATTACTTAAACACGCTCTTGTTTCCAGACATGTTCAGTGACGGTCCTGAGTGAGTGAAGGACGTGGCGAAGGGAGTGGTCTCCTACATTTAGTCTGGGAGGAACTGGAAAGTGGCATTTTCAGTTGTTATGACTTTTCGGGATGCTGGTATCAGATCACTGACTCCATGCTAAAGTGGACTAGCTTATAGAAGATGCTTGCAAATAGAGATTTGGAGAAATTGGGGAAATGGAGTTTGTTAGGGTAATGCTTTATACTCTTAGGAAGTCATTGTAGGTAGAAGGGTGTCAAACTCTGGGGCACTTGGACTGGGAAACACCTGTTGTCTCTCTGCTTGCTGCTTACTTGCTGAGCTTGTTCCAGGTTTGGCCTTGGGCTGGGTGCTCACATTGCCTGTAGAACAGGGTGGATGGTCCAACTCACATTTCCTATAGAGTAGGGTGGACTGTCCATGCTTTTTTATGCTCAGATATCTAACATGTGCTTCTTCTGAATATATTGAGAGTTAAAGAGGAGCCGGTTTATTTTGTTAAGATGGCAAGGGTGGTAGAGTGTTGGCTGGATCTCTAGTGTCCACAACATGAAGCAAACTGTGGGAAATATTCCAAGATGTGCCAAAAGTAGAATATACGTGTGGATCAAAATCACTTCTCCAAAAGAAATGCCAGGGTGTATAGTTCTAAAACAATATGCTTATTCTGGAAAATATGGGCAATATAGAACAAAGAAAGCAAAACTCTTACTACAAGGAAAATTAGAAATCATTTCTCATGATTTCAGAATATTTGGCTTTTAATTTTCAAGTTTAAGGAAACCTGCCATCCTAAGGTCAGCATGGGATGCATGCTAGCACAAGTTTTGACTGACCCACGAAAGAGTAATTAACAAATGGAATGTGTATTGAACTTTAGCTGACCATTTAAAATATGAAGTATTGCAGCGGTCTATTGATTTTGTGATACATGCTCATAACTAGGATAGGTGGGAAAGTGTGAAAACGGCAGGGTATGTGGAAATAAGACCGATGTGATAGCTAGGGGACAATGGGGACACCTCCTCTTTCCCGTCCTGTCTAGGGTGTGCAGAGACCTAGGAGAGGAGGAGAGGGAGTCAGTGAGTCAGCTGATCTTGCTAGACTCTGAAGGGGCTTTCCTAGAACTGAGTGGAGTGTGCCTTACTCTCTCCAGCATGGGTCCCAGGTCTCCCTTCTGTGACTCAGCACCTCAACAAGCACCAGGGAGATTTGCTACCTTCTCAGAAAGCACGTCACAATGCTGTGTTGTTAAAAAAGGTTAATAAAGGACTCAGCCAGTTCCTTAGGCTTCATTTCTAGTAGTTGTCAGCTTGGAGCCATGGCCAGCCCGGAGCTCTCAGTGTAAGTCTTGAAAGACCAGGCTTGTTGTATTTGTTCTCTGTGGCAACTAATTTTCAAGTGAATATGCCTTCATTATGGCGCTGTCACATCATTAGACTTCATTCTGATTCTTCCCCATTCATTTTTCTACAAAAGTGCTTTATAGTTACAGGAGATTGAATATTTTCTGCTTGAGAATTAAAGCAAAATTAAAAAACACATCCAGAATGTTATGGGAAAGTGAAGTATTTCAAGGACCTTAGGTTTACGTATGTAAATGGGTTTTTATAGCATTAGGTCACCACCCCTGTTCTATTCCTGACTTCACAGACTTGTCAAACTTCCTAAGAGTGGGGATTATTCTCACTATTGTTATACTTTAAATATCCAAGTGTTGAACCCTTGGTCTCTTTGCCTGACTCTATTATAGTCACATTATCTTGAGGCCTTTGGTTATAAGAGTATATTAAATCGGTGGTTTCATAGTCCTAGACTTTTCATTTGGTAATCTCAGGTGTGGGGAATTAACCAAGTCTGCACAGGAACCTGAAAACAGCACATTTACTGACTGAAGAATGCTGAAGGAAGTAGCCCTGTGGTATATCAGCTGACACCTGCTGTGCTTGGGTAGTTTTTATGTCGTTTTCGAAGAGGGAACCTTAATTAAGAAAATGCTCCCACCAAACTGTACCCTGGACAAATCCGTGGTACATTTTTTGATTGACGATTGATGATTGCAGTTGGGTCTAATCCATTGTGGGTGGTGCTACCCCTGGGGCTGGTGGTGCTGGGTGATACAAGAACTCAGGCTGAGTGAGCCATGAGGAGCTGGCTAGGAAGTAGTCCTCATCTGTGTGTTCTGCTTCAGCTCCTGCCTTGAGGCTCCTGCCCTGGGGCCCCTGCCCTGAGGCTCCTGCCTTGGTTTCCTTCAATGATGGACTGTGATATGGTTGTATAATCAGAAGAAACCTTTTTACCCCCAAGTTGCTTTTGGTCATGGTGTTTTATCATGGCAGTGAAGACAGAAATTCGTACCAGAGAGTGGACTATTGCTGTGACAGACCTGACCATATTTGTGAGAGGATTGTGGAAGTACTTTGGTCTAGAGAAGCCATTAAGTGTTCAGAGCCTAATGATCTATTGTGAGAATGTAGAAGATAATGCCGAGAGCAGTGAGGGCAGCAGAGGCCTGGCTTGTGAAATTTCAGAGTGAAGTTTGAGAGTCCTTTACAAACTCTACTGGGGTATCCAATGTTTTGAATTAGGAGCCACTAAAGTGAAACTTTCGATTTTCTGGGACAGCCAATACTAGTCACCTAAGGCTGCACTATCAGCTGCAGTCAAGAAGAGACCAGCACTGCTGAGGTCAGTTCTTCAGGAATTGATTCCTCAGGATCAGCATACAGAATCTTTGGTCCAGACTGGGCCAAGGCTGTGCTTTGTGCTGGCAGATGAACTTGGTTGTGTGTAAGTGTCTCTCAGGTGGTGCTGGTTTTGAAGGCATAAAAGGGAACATGGGGAGAAGGTGAGGCTTTTACCAAGTAGCAGGTCAGAGTCTGCAAAACGAGCCCAGGAGGGGCTGTTGGTGAAGGTACACCACAGCAGCACACACTGGCACTTAGACAGTTCCACAGTTTAAATTGTTAAAGAGGGAAGTATTCTGTAAGAAAAAAATTAATGCTCCAGTTTGAACCTGCCTTACACAGAGGTCTCTAAGTTCTCGAGATGATGTCTCTGGCAAAAATACATTCCTGCTGTATATTCACGTAGTCTTAAAAGTTCTCAGTCATTTAAATCACAGTTCACTCAGTGCTGGATGCAGAAGCTTCCTGGCCCTATAACCCAGGACCTCTTGAGATTAATGTTTCTGTAAAGACTTGTGCACAAACATATCTAAATGACAGAGTTGTAGTCATTGATGGGTTGGAGCTTTGCTTTATAGATGAACTAACGTTTCCGGTGGGCCTCATAGTGTGTGATTTGGATGTTGACAGCCACTGCGCCTGCCCCGGGATGTCTGTGTGCCCCACTGTCACCTTTCAGCTGTGCTGTGTCGTGGAGAAGCACCAGGTGTGCAGGGTTTGTTCTCAGTCGTCGTGTTCTGTAATTTGGGAAGTGTTCGTAACAGGTTGTTTTTTATTGTGTCTGACGACCTTCCACAAGAGGAAAGCACTGACTTGTAATGTGGCTAGGCCTTGCTCTCACCCAGTGTCTAAGAAACCTGTTATTTTTGAAAACACCAGTTTACAGTCCCTAGGGAGGCTTTCGCTCTATTTCTCTACTTATCTGAGGTTAGACCCTGACCTCAGCCATTCTAGAGCAAAGCCACAGACCTCAGTAGTGGATGTGGAGACGAGTTTGGGGCAAATTCTTATAAAATCTATATAGTTTATCTAGTGGCTACACCACAGAGACTTTTCTCCTCAATTACAGAGTTTCATATAGAACATAGAGGAAGAGATGAGTCTGTGTCCATTGTCAGAATATGGCAAGAAGTTGCGCCCAAGCTTAGATATCTGAGAAAACTTTGGGAAGGGGTTCCCAGTGCTGTGTTTACATTATGATCATTTGAAGGATTTTAAATTCCAGACTTTTTTCAGTTGAAAGCATGGAATGCGGAAATAGTTGAAGGATGTTTGCTGTACCCATACTTGGTTTGAGGTGCTCTGCCCTCTAAATGTTCACTGTTGAGAAGGCATGCCTTAGCATGTCTGTCTGAGAGAACAAGGGCATTGTGGGAATGAGGGGCCACTATTAGAGGGTCGTTATTTAGGTCATACTAATTTTGAAGTTACTTCATGAGACAGCATTTTTCTAACCTCTGGCTAAGGTTGGTGATGACCCTACTCTATTCCTGTGACTTTCTTGAAAACTTAGGCTCTTGTTGCTGTATTCCTTGTTTCACTGCTTCCTGTCTGTAGGGAATGGAGGAAGCCCCGAGTGAGTGAAGTCCTGATTGAATGTGTGTTATTGACATGAGCTGCCATGTCAGGGACCCTGGTAGAGGAGTAGAAAAGCCTCCCCCTGGTGTTGGAGTTGGAATCTATGGAAGATAGGTGTAAATGGAGTCTCGATAGTTGGGGGGCCTTGTAATGGGACTAGAAAAGCCCTCAGCAGAAACTAACCATGCAAAAAAGGCCTGGCCCTTTGCTCCTGTACTTCCAGCCTCCAGAATTGTGAGCTATTAATTCTTAGTATTTAAGCTGTCCAGTCTTTGGAAGTTCATTAGCTTGCACAAGCAGTCTAAGAAACGGGGCAGAGTTGTTGACTTTTAAGTTTCAGATTGTACTATAGTTGTCTATTTAACATACACGGTTTATCCATCTGTGCTTGGCTTGGTTGATACCAATTTTAAAGTAAGATTAGAACACTGTTTAGTTCACAGTATAAAGCAACTACGTGAATTTACAACTTGTGGAATTTTTCATTAATTATTTTTTTTAATGGGTATTATGGGACTTTTGTCTGCATGGACCAGAAGAGGACATTGGATCCCCTGGGATTACACATGGTTGTGAGCTGCCCTGTGGGTTTTGGGAATTGAATCCAGGTCCTCTGGAAGAACAGCTAGTGCTATTAACTGCTGAGCCGTCTCCTCAGCACCAATTTTGTGATAGAAGTATTGCTAATGTTTATTTC